TCATCCACTACACAAACACAGACACTGCTTCCACTACACACACTCCATCCAGTACACAAACACAGACACAATGCATTCACTACACACACTGCATACAATACACACTGCCTCCATTACACAAACTCAGACACTGCATTAACTACACCCACTGCATAAATTAATGGATGTGGGTGTATTTAGGTAAACATGGCTTTTGTGGTCCATGGACCCAGGCAGCACAATGTCTTGGATCGGCCCTGGCTACAGAGGTGCCAGGTCGACCCAGTTATTTGTTCTATGTTTTGAAGTAGCAGGAAGGAAACTTTTTCTACATGAGATATTGGCATGGTTATGTCACGCCAACTGTGCTTCCATGTACTGATCTCACAAATATTAATAGCGTGATAAAAGGGGAGCAAACAAAAAGGTGGAGAGAATGAACATCATGAAAAATTCTAACAATTGTTTTGGCTACTCGCTGGTACTTGTATATGTTGAAGTGAATATTTGTCGATCCAAGTTCCACCTGGGCACCATGTAATTATAATTCGTAATAAGTCGTTATTACCTGTGACCAAAGTGGTGGTTATGGTGCCTGGTGGGGCCTGGTGCCATCCCCTGATAAGGCATCAAACCATTTTTGAATGCTTTGACACTTCCCCGGATACTGACAGGCATCTGCTATAGCAGTCGTCTCCAACAAGACTAGCAAACTATCACTAATTAAAAGTATGAAGAAGCATAGAGCAAGGCAGGGCTGCTGTCAGTGACCAAGCATTCTCAGCCAATGAGAACAATTCTGCTTTGGCTCACTTTGGTTACTATGGTTACTCCTGTTGGAGAAGACCGGATGTGGTGGATGTGGCACGGGTACTTGTCAGGACCCAGTTATGTTGTCAAACCATGGTATACTGTGCTGTTGAAGTCATCATGCTTAGAGCCTTACTTTGATTGCATTTAACCTATGTATTTGAATGACCATATATCATAAGTGTAGTTAAAATATACAAATTGAAAGGTTCATCTTGCAGGCCAGCAATTGTATAACATGGCAGGAGGCGTAAAGGGACACTATAGTCACCTGAACAACTTTAGCTTAATGAAGCAGTTTTGGTGTATAGAACATGCCCCTGCAGTCTCACTGCTCAGTCCTCTGCCATTTAGGAGTTAAATCCCTTTGTTTATGAACCCTAGTCACACCTCCCTGCATGTCACTTGCACAGCCTTCCATAAACACTTCCTGTAAAGAGAGCCCTATTTAGGCTTTCTTTATTGGAAGTTCTGTTTAATTAAGATTTTCTTATCCCTGCTATGTTAATAGCTTGCTAGACCCTGCAATAGCCTCCTGTATGTGATTAAAGTTCAATTCAGAGATTGAGATACAATTATTTAAGGTAAATTACATCTGTTTGAAAGTGAAACCAGTTTTTTTTTTTTTTTCAGGCTCTGTCAATCATAGCCAGGGGAGGTGTGGCTAGGGCTGCATAAACAGAAACAAAGTGATTTAACTCCTAAATGACAGTGAATTGAGCAGTGAAATTGCAGGGGAATGATCTATACACTAAAACTGCTTTATTTAGCTAAAGTAATTTAGGTGACTATAGTGTTCCTTTAAGATTTGGTTTGATTGTATGATTTAGTTTTCATGATTTGATTTCAGGATTTGATTGTATGACTTGCTTTTAGGATTTGAGGTTAATGATTTAATTGTATGATTTAAATTCCATGATTTGATTGTATGATTTGATTTTCATGATTTGATAGTGTGTGTTGATTTTGGGATTTATATTATGAGGTGAAGTCGTCTATTGTGCCTTTTGCAGGTGTTTTCTTCTTGCCTGCTCTTTCTACATCCCCCCCTTTTCTATGGGGTCTTTATGGGTGCCTTCCTCCACCCTTCTCACTCTATTTTTCCCTGCTCTCCTTGCGGGCATTTTTCTTTCGGTTCTTTCTGGCTTCCTTCTGTTTTCTTCCTGTTGTTTTTCTGTTTTCCTAGTGGCCGGCGGGGAGCGGTTCAGTACCGCCTCCCGTCCTGTCCAGCCGCCGGGACTGTGGAGAACGACTCCGGCAGTCCCACGTGGGTATCTTGCGCGCCGTGAACTGCCCCTCCACCTGTCTCCCTCCCACGCTCCCCGTACCGCTTGGAAGCAGTTATCTTTCACGTCATCGGGTGACATGGGAGGGATGACCGGCCACGTGGGAGCGACGGCTACCGGCCACGTGGGAGCGACTGCTCCCGACCTCGTTTGGCCTCCCCACACCGCAGGGCCCTCTGTAGGTTGTAAGAGTTTGCCTTTTGGAAATTCTAATGTCACTACTATAAATATATTTCTGGAGTGTTCGGTTTGAGCCCTTTAGAGTAAGGCACTTCATCTCTTCAACCTCACTTTCTCTGTTTTCCTATGGAAAGCTGTTTCTTTCACTCTGTTACAGAAGAGTTGGTTACAGTTCACAAAGAGTGTTAGGCACTATTCATCTGAAGAGCGTTATCTACACAGTAGAATGCTATGTACAACTACACAGTAGAATGTTGTGTACAGTTACGCAGAAGAATGCTATGCACAGTTACACAGAAGAAGGCTATGTACAGTCACACAGAAGAAGGCTATGTACGGTCACACAGAAGAAGGCTATGTACAGTCACACAGAAGAAGGTTATGTACGGTCACACAGAAGAAGGCTATGTACAATTGCACAGAAGAATTCTATGTACAATTGCACAGAAGAATGTTACGTACAGTGACACTGACAAGTGTTATGTACAGTTACACAGAAAAGTGTTAACTACAGTTACACAGGAGAGTGTTATGTGCCATTAATCTGAAGAAGTGTTAGGTACATCTTCTCCGAAGAGTGAATTGTACAATTAATCAGAAGAATGGAAGGGCAGTTTATCGCCTGTGCACCCCCATAGGGCCTGACTTGTCTGTGCCCCAGGATCTGGCCGGCTTTGTCCGAGCCGTATTGATTGGCCTGCTTTGTCTGTGCCCCATTGATCTGGCTTGTGTTGTCTGTGCCAGAATATCTGCATGTCAAGCCTTGCGACTATATACTCACGCTTGGACATTGCATGCGCTGCCAAATTGCCTCTGTCACTAGATGGGGTGCTGCCACGATGCTGCTGCCGGTTACACTTGTTCGTTATACCCCTAGAGGTCGCCTTGCCTCAGACCACTCCACGGTCAATCCTTCATTAATGCACACAGGCGATGCCTACTAGGGCAGCGACCACCTTCTAAAGAAGGCAGGAGACTTGAAGGAGTCAGACCCCCCTGAGGAGGGCAGGCAAGTGGAAGGGTGAAGGCCCTAAACCAGACGCCCGGAAGATAGACTCCGGAGAAGCGTCTAACCCCGATGCAATCGGGCTGGACGGCACTGCCTATAGGGAGGCGGTGTCCTTCGGACACGGCAGTGACCACCTTTTTAATAAAGTCAGACGACTTGAATGAGTGAGACTCTCCTAGAGGAGAGCAGGCAAGTGCGCACAAGCGCTACTGGAGGGGTGAAGGCCCTAAACCAGGCACCCGGACAGATTAGACTCCGGAGAAGCGTCTAACCCCGATACCGATCGGCCTCGCAGCCAGACTATACTGCCTAGGTGGCGCAGGGGTGGTAGTCCTCATGACCCACCCCCACAACGGCCGTCCTAGCTGAATGGTGGGCGGACCGGTCGCTCTCGGAAGGAGAGGATGATGGGGGGTGGACTATGATGAGTGGCACTGTGGGACGGAGAACAAGCCCACTACAGGGGCTCCAATGAATGTGGAAGAAGAGGTCGTCTCGTTGGTCGCCTTAAACGAACCCCTGTGCGACCCTCGACCAATTGCTCATTTCTTCGTAAGGGTCTCGGCCCGGGCACCTAGCACCATCGGTGCGTTGCTGGGACCGTAGATTGCTGACTTGAGAAGCCCGCAAGATACTTGGAGTCGTGTACCCAGCCGGGCTTCCGAACAAAGTAGCCTCGTACCCAGACTTAGACCCCGATGGGGCGCTGTGGCTCTCCTGGTGGCAACGCCTGTCTAGTATACAGGAGATCCGGAGTACGGCCCACTGCGGTGCCTATACTCTACTTTTCAGTCCGCACTGACAAGCCAAGGGTTCTCCCCCACATGAGTGGGTTGTCCTACGGGACATACGAGGAAGAATATTGGGTCCCAGTTTTCATATGAAAAAACGTTACGGAGACATAGCTAAAGCTCCAACCCGTACCTGTTATAAGGGATTGGACCCTGGGCCCGGAATGTCACAGTTGCCTCCACCTTCGGATGACATAACATACGGGACCCCGAACCTGGGGATTGCAGGAGACCCTATCTTCGTCAATGCGGACCACTGGAGGTGCTTGGAATCAAGGGATCTGAGGCCTTTGGAGCCTGCACGAGACTACGCTTGAAGGTATAGCCATTAGTTACTTTGAATTAGACGCGGTCCTCAGGGAACTTCTAGGACCGCGGGGCCCATTCCTGGTAAGGCGGGCTCAAGTTTCTCCCTGGCGAGATAAGGACCTGGGGCATCATTCATTTGGACGATAATACAGCCTGACTGGCAGGTTTGGATGAATTTAGGACGTTCTACCAGAACTATCCGAAGAGATCCTTCTCATTTTTTCCACGAGGACCTTTCGAGGGACGGTCTACCCGGATGGGCTGGCTGGATCCTCGGCGAGTTGCCCCCCAGACCGAAGGGACAGACGCTATCTGCATTTTGCTTATTTGGGTCCCTGGAGTTCGTGTTCAAAAGAGGAATATTGACCCCCTCTGCGGCTCAAGGTGTAGAGTCCTGGAGGGCGGATCAGACGCAAGGGGGTACCTCCTACGTTTTCCCCCTATCCGAGTTTCTCATACGGTTGGAATAGTTTTCCGAGAAGACCCGGCGTCAAGACCTTAGCCCACGGAGGAGGACCCATTAAGCCCCGTCCAGTTTCAGCCGGCATACAGACCGGTTTGCTCAGTGATGGACGTTTCCCTTCAGGGGTGTTCGACACGGAGACGCTGAGGAGGCCCCTCCATTGTTGTTTCCAGGACCTTACTACAAGTGTCTCGGTCTGCCGGTACCTTGGTTTTATGACCTCCGCTTCGGCCGAGTCGAGACTAGTGCCTGGATTCCCTGGACCTGTCCCACTTGATCTCGGGGACCGTAAGACGTTTGCCTGCATGGCGACCATGATGGAATTGGGTCTGGTACGGATTAACAGAAATTTTGCAAACTCTGTTACAGGGTTCGATATATTGTTTGGTCGTTTTATTGTCCGGGACTGTTGTATCACTTAGATTAGGTAGGGCGTTCGACTGTTTCGGCGGGCCTCACTCTGTTGGTATCTCCCTTCGAGCTAGACGTGCGGGTTCATAGGGGTGTGAGTTCTCTCGATTCTCAAGGACGTGTATTCATTTCCCCAATGGGTATACGCGTTGTTTGTCATGCCTCAATTGCCGGTTTTCGTCGTTTTTTGTCCATCTCCGACTCGGGATTTGTTCCCCTTATCATACCCTTTTTTTCTTCTTTCAGATGGGTTTGGATGTTCGGACCTTAGTTGTCTATCGGCGCTAGTCGGACCCGAGGGTTATACTCTTGTCTTGGTTGCGCGCCCCTCTTTTTTATGTTGCGGTCGATACCACCATTTGTTTAGACGGTTCTTTTCCTTTTCTTCGCCCTTCATGTACCGCCCGGTGGTTGTTGGCATTGGCGGAACGAATAGGTTTTTCGGTTAATTTCAGTCAGTACTCAGCAACTTCAGGCGCCGTCATGGCGGGCGTTTTTCTCCAGGACATTGTTCACTTTCCTGCCGGTTACGGGAACTATCTTCACTAAGTTAGGTTGGTACGGCGGATCGTGTTTCTTTGTGCTTTGCTGTCCGAGTGTTAAAACAGCAAATATGAAGCCTCCTGTCATGTTATAAAATTGTAGATTATACTAGCTTTAGTGTAACTATAATCTTAATTTTATTAATGACAGGAGATGAATATTTCCCTCCCAGTTTCTCCCTTCCCTGGTTTGTTGGTTGGTTTGACTGACTTTTGTTTATTCCTGGTCTCTTGGACTAGGTTTGTCAATCTGGGGGAGTTGGGGTTAATCTGGGATATGGTACCGTCAGTATGTTATGATGGGGATTCATGTTTTCTCAGTATCTTGGATATTATACTGTCAGTATTGACGATGGGGATTCATGTTTTTCTCAGTACATTTCATTCGCTAATTAGTGTTTTTGACTGTGTTTATCTCGTTTCAGTTTAATGGTTCGGCTACAGTTCTTAGATCCGACTACTCTACAGGCTTCATCCACTGGTTCCACGTTTCCAATTTCGGATGGCATTCATCGTTGTCTTATGTTGTTTCTCTTGTTATTGTATTTGTGGTGTATCGTTCATGTACTTTATTTTGTCGCAGCGTGAAAGAGGAATTAGTTGGTTGGGAGAAGCCTTTTTTTGTCTCTGGTGTTTTTCTCTCTATTTTAATGTGCTGCTGTGGAGTTCTAGTAAAGAGAGACTTAAGCAAATATACGCCTCCTGTCATTAATAAAATTAAGATTATAGTTACACTAAAGCTAGTATAATCTACAATTATCTTAATAAATCCCAGCTGTATGCACTTATAGTGATTCTCAGAGACAGGAGATATTTAGTAACCCTTCTCCAAATTCCTTGACATTTAAAGAGCACTTAAAGTGTTGTTGGTGGGGACAGTGCAAAACATTCCAGCATCCTCCCATCCAGCACACGTCTCCCCCTTTCAGCTTGCAGCCCCATATCCCCTCTCATACCCAGCATTCCCTGTCTCCCCTTCTTATACCCTGCATCCCCTGTCTCTACCTCTCATACCCTGAATCCTCTATTTCCCTCTCTAACTCAGGAGCTTCTGTCCCACCACCCAGCACTGCCACCAGGACCACCCTCTTCACCTCTCACCCAGCAGCCGCTGCCCCCATCTCACCTTGCAGCCCCATGACCCTTTACACTGCAGCGCCTGCAGTCTCCCCCTCTCACCAAGCAGCCTAATGTCCCCTCTCACATCCTGCCGTACCTCTTACCCAGCAGTCACTGTCCCCACCTCTCACCCAGCAGCCATGTCCCCACCTCTCACCCAGCAGCCTAATGTCCCCTCTCACATCCTGCCGTTCCTCTTACCCAGCAGCCTCTCTCATACTCTGTAACCCCTGTCTCCACCTCTCACCCAGCAGCCACTGTCTCCACCCCCCACCCGCAGCCACTGCCCCACCTCTCACCCAGCAGCCACTGTCTCCACCTCTCACCCTGCAGCCACTGTCCCCACCTCTAACCTAGCAGCCACTGTCCTCACCTCTCACCCAGCAGCCCTTGCCCCACCTCTCACCTAGCAGCCACTGTCTCCACCTCTCATCCAGCAGCCACTGTCCCCACCTCTCACCTAGCAGCCACTGTCTCCACCTCTCACCCAGCAGCCCTTGCCCCACCTCTCACCCAGCAGCCCTTGTCTCACCTCTCACCCAGCAGCCCTTTCCCCACCTCTCACCTAGCAGCCACTGTCCCCACCTCTCACCCAGCAGCCACTGTCTCCACCTCTCACCCAGCAGCCACTGTCTCCACCTCTCACCCAGCAGCCCTTGCCCCACCTCTTACCCAGCAGCCACAGGCCTCTACCATACAAATCTCAGGTGCTGTGCAAAATTAACTCAGCTGTTAAGCTAGCTGTTAGTAAATCAGAGATATTTTTGTGAACTAAATGTAATAAAGGGATAGTATGAAATAGATACAAGTATAGTAATATGTTCATTTTAATTGATAATATCCTACCTAACCAGGAAACATTATATATTTCCTAGTTATTGTATTTTTGTGAAGACTCTTAATGAACACATCATTTCATTTGCACAATAATTTTTTATTAATATTATTATTAATTACCATTATTTTAACATTTAATGAAACGTAGTGATTTTTTTCAACTGGTGTATATTGACTTTTTATTTAATTTTTTTGAGAAAATGTAATTTTTATCTGCTGAACAGCCATGCTGGGTCGGACTCTAATGTTATCTGACCAACTGCTGGTCAGACAGAGCAATCACAGCAGCTGATAAGTTGAGCAACAGTTGGTCAGATAACCGTAAAAAAAATTCAATACACCAACATTATTACAAGTTTCATTAAAATAAACTTTTAAAATTGAGAAGGAGAAAATTTGACGACAGTATTGGAGGATAATTAACAGAATACATATTCATCAAAGCAGCGATTGTTTTAATGCCTTAGGAGGTGATAGATCTTGTCTTCTATCTAAAGTTTTAATTCTATTTAAGTGTCTCCACCTGATTTAGTGGAAGAGTGATATTTAAAGCTTCTGACTTAGCAACACTGGATAAGACCAAAAATCCTGATAATATCGAATATAGGGTAGAATGCAAGAGGTGGAGTTATGACATTGTGAGCAGAATATCATTAACTGTCCAAACATCGTAACTGTCCAAACAACTAACCCAGACCTCCTAGCTCAAGACACTATACAAGCAAAGTGACATAGGACACGAGTCATGGATAATAACCCAAATACGCTGAGAATAAACTCTGTAATTAGACGATACTGGTCCATAGAGGTGGCCGGGCTTCACATAAAACAGATAGAAAAGTCAAGACAAGCCAAAATCAAGGGACACCAGATAACAGGTAATCAGTTAGACAAAGCCAGGTCATGGGTACCAGAATACAGAATGGTCAAATGGAGAGCAACAATTAAATCAAGATAGTATAAACTCTATATGGGCAAGGTGAAGCCACAATAGGGTACTGTGCACTTGGAAATCTGCAGTTGTATAGACTGGGGTGTTATTGCAGTAATCACGCCCCCAATAGGAGAGGTAGTGGCGAAGATTACATATTGGTGTCAATAAAATGGGCGTGGACACAGCCGGTGGCGTCAGAGATACTACAGGAGCCAGCAGAAACTGAGGAGTTCCCCTCTTACCTTACTGGTCTATTTCCCCACAGTAACCATAACTGAACGTTTAGCCATAGGGCTAGAATAAAGTGTCTGGATGCCTTGGGTAAAACTCTCTATTCCAAACTTTTTTTTTTACTTTTAAACAGAAAGGTCTAGTCCACCCTGTTGAATCCTTTTCTAGTATCCAATGAAATAATCATTATTCTAATCTCTTAGGTTACTCCAGGTTACTCCAAAGACCATGACCCCTTCAGTTGCGATTTCAGCAGGCCCCCCTCCCCTATCCTCCCCTTAGTCTTCCTCTCTTCCAGCAAGAATTGAGTCAGTAGAGGAAAATCAGGTTGAGAGTAGAACTTGGTCTCAGTTCTGGAACAGAGGTATGTTTATTTTTTTATTTACGTTTTTAATAATGTAGAGTTTGAGGATAGGTACGGTTACTCTAACAAAATCTCAACCCATTTACTAATATTATTTTATGATTAGCATTTATCTAGTGTCAACATTTTCGGCAGTGCTTTACAGTTATAGAAAGATGATATTAAGCGGTGAAGAAGGCCCTGCTCAAAGCAGCTTACAATCTATGAGTAACCGTTTAACTTCAAAACCGGTTAAAATCAAAGAAATCTGACGATAACGTGAGCATTGGGCAGGGTCTTTACCTTCCTTAGGAATTTCCACTATCCTTGCTTCTAATAATTCAGAAATAGAAGAAGTGCCACATAACATCACGTCAAATAATCTAGTGAGGTGAGTGGCCAATTGACCTTTACATTTCTTGTAATAGACGGCTGTGAGACCATCAATGTCTAGTGACATAGATAATTTTAATTGCTTAATAGAAATAGACATGTCAAGAGTTCTACTTTGTTTTGAAGTTGGCCAACAGAGCTGTAGTGAACTCCTGAAGAGCACTAAAGTGGGGGGGGGAGACTTATTTGCCATCGATATATCACATAGTCACATACAGAATTGTCCAAATTTATGTAGAGTTTTGAGTACACCCCATTGGTGGTGTTTGAATAGAAGATACATGTTGCTGCTTCCTTTAGCCTCTCAAGAAATTGGATAAAATAGTGTCTAGTTTATTACCAAATTCAAAACTTTTTGTCCCATCCTGTAGAGTGTTTCTGTGAAAGGAGGAATGAGTTTCAATCTGTCCTTTTTAACAAACGTTCTCTGTAGAACAAAAGGTTATTTAACATTTTATGATATTCTTCTTATATATTCTACCTGATACGTTAAATAGACCATTTCAGATTCCTTTGTTTTTAATGTGGGGTGCTATTCTAATGAAGAATGACTGAATGACCATTTAGTGGACTAACAAAACTACTAAACTAAGAGAAGTATAGGACATTCTCGTGACAGACAAACAGGGTGTCATTTCAATTTAATATATGTCTAGTCTAACCACATAATTGGATATATTTTGGTCAAGGTTACGAATTTGAGTTTGTGATGAAACCAGATATTAATCCGAATATAGCTATTACTTGGATTTGTATAAAACGTAAAATCACAAAAAGTAGACTTTAGTCCTGTTTAAGAAATTATTTCAATTGGTTTATTTGCATATGAATTAAAAACAAAGCTATTAGAAGGATTATCTAATAATTCATCCATAATGTGTTGAGATTC